AATCATGCAACACAGTTTTTAGAAAAAGTCAATTTTATTGAATCACTGGGATAATACTTTTTTCTACTCCTATTACGGAATTTGACCGTTCTAATATCACTTTTATCTATGGAATGACATATATTCCGTAAAAAGTTACAGAATGAAATATTCTCTTCATCGGATGACATAATGAACACTAGTGGCGACATCTCTGTTTTTAATATCTAACAATTTTTACACCGATCCAACCTCACTTTCTTCCAATTAAATTATTTTTCATGGTATTTTTTGGAAACCTAGAAAAAGTATAGTCTGAAACACGTTTGGAATTGCATATTCCACTTTCGTAAAACCGTCAAACTCGCCTTCGGCTCGTGTGACAAACTCTTCACTCGAGCGGAATATGCTGTATTCCAAACTTGTTACAGAATAAACTATTCCATCTATGATGATCTATTACATATCTGACCCACGCACAGTTAACAACAAATGGCGCCACGTCGATTTAGTTCTACTAAAACATAACTGGACCTATCTAGGCCCGGTGCACCGCGGTGGGAAATTATTAAGGGTTATTGGGATAATAATAATCTTAAAAAAAAATCATTTACAAAGAAGCGTTTTTTATTTTGAACCTAAGCTGTATAATGAAATACCTATAAAATTAAAAAATATTAAAAAAAATATAAATATAGACTAGAAACTAAAACTTTTTTATTGAACAAACCGACGTTTTGCGACAATTTATTTTAACAAAAACGCTTTTTAAATAAATAGTTGCCCATGCATTTATACCTTCACATAAACTTTCATAATATATATTATAAACCGTACCATATACATTTTACTTTGAAATCTATTTAAGATCCCTTGGATTCCTTTTGTTTCTTTTATTTCTCATTGTTTATCATAAACTTTATTTTATTAATTTTGGTTGACTTTCTTTTTCTTCATTGTACATAAATATATTTTGTTTTATCTTTATATCTTTATAAAAATGTTAAAAATAGTTTTATTAATTTATTTGTTTAATCCAGTTAATTCTTGGAAAATGCACAATTCAACCATCCTATGGTTATAACCATAGGTGCTTTCCAAGAATTAAATGATTTGGTTATTTAGAAATTATTATTATAAAAAAAACACTTTGTTATTATGTACACCCTAATGATGATGAATAAAATTTGAATTTGAAATTTGAATAATAATAATAATAATAATGTAATGATTTTAAAAATTGAAGCATTTTAAAAATATTTGATATAATAAAATAAATAAAATTTTCATAAATAAATTTTACTATTAGTCACTGAGGTTACAAAGCGCTGTAATAATCATTATACAGGTGGCAAAATATGTGTTTTTTTATACAAAAGTTGCTAAATTACCTACCAGCTATAATATCTCTAGAATATTGATAATGCACAAAATAACTTTATGACAATCGAAAGCACGTTGTTGAAGGCGGAGGGCTGTTACCAACAAAAGTGCTTGAGAAAATTAACATAAAATTATAAGGCATAAATATATTTATATTCATAAGCAAGGGTTTTCACAACGCGCGCGCCATCAGGTGGTGTTTGATAGCATTGTTGACAATTTAAGAAATGTCAACAATACATTCTAGCATACAAACTGCACATAATTTTTAAATAAATCTAGTCTTACTCGACAAATTTTGTTTAATTGCACAGCTAAATCGCGCACGTTATTTGTATTTCGCGTTGCAAGTAAAAACTAAATAACTTTGGTTTAGTACTCGATTTCGATTTATTATTTCTTATATCAAAGATTAAGAAACTGGACGCTTATAAATATGCTTATATAGTTACGTTAGAGTGTGTATTTTATTCAAGTGATAATGGTGAATTATTGTGTTTTTAATTGTAAATAAAATTCCAGAACTAAATCGTTGCATTTGTATGTTTTTCCAAAGAATCCAATTCCGTACGTAGTGGAACTTAGTGGTGCATAATTAACCAATGATCACTTTACCTAATATAATTTATATTTAAGTTTGGACATTTTTAAGAAACCTTAAAATCTAAAAATTTTATTTTTAAATCCTCTAAAAAAACACCGACAACTGCATTTTAAACGAAAAAATATATCTAAGAATTCATGACAACATAATATTATATATTATAATAAAGAATATAAAACCGGTTCTTGCTATTATACCGTTGAGTGGAGACTTTCTTAATCAACGCTTTTAATAGGGCATAATTCTGTTTGAATTAATTAATTTATTTTATCTAATTGGAACAATTTATATTTACAGGGACTGTATGCAATTTATTTCTTCATTCGGATTTCCACTGTTAATTGGAAAAGCGGTAACAACTCAAACCAGGATTTCCTCTCGAAAAACACTTAACAACACAACAAATCTTGCTACGATTTGTTTTAGATATTTTTAATATTTTCCAGCTTTATTCTCAAAAACACTCGTTTGTAACATGCATATTTACGCGTCAAGCTGCCTATTGAAAGTTGATTTCTGGTAACGATGATAACGGCCACGTGGTGGCGCTACTAGCGATGGTACTTTAGCGTATTCGGACAGAAATTTTGTTGATACAATTAAATGTAACTTATCTTGCTAAAGTTTGCACGAAACATTCCACATAGTCTTTATTGTTGCTTCTTTGAATTCTGTCCCATCTTTCTTCCTTTTTGACCACTCAATGTCAGATATTTTACGCTTCTATGCTTATTTAACTCATATTTTCATTCACAGCAAAACTCCATAAAAATTCCCCACGTGGATGTGTGACTGTTTGTGGTAGTTTTTAAATTTTTTTATTTAGGGCGTTAATGTATTGATATTTTGCGTTGCCAAAACTTGACATTTAAAAATTAATTTGACATATGGTGTTTTCGCAACGCGCGCGCCATCTGGTGGACTTCGATTGCATTGCGTGAATTTAAGAATTGTCAACAATATTAAAGCACAGATTATACATCATTTTTAAATAAATAGGTAGTTTTTTACAAAAGAGAGGAAGAGAAGTCTTACTCGACAAATTTTGTTCAATTGCACAGCTAAATCGCGCACGTTATTTGTGTTGACGTTGCAAGGAAAAAAATAAAAAACTTTTTTAGTACTCAAATTTAATTGATTATTCCTTATATCATTGATTAAGAAACTCAACGCTTAAATGCTTATATAGTTACGTTGGTGAGTATAGTGATTGAAAACATCCCTGAATGTAGTTTTCAGTTAAATGTTAAAATGATTGGGTGATTTGTGTCACATGACAACAAATTACAACATTTAAATGGCTGTTAGAACTGTCAAAAAATGTTCAGCTATAATATCCCTAGGACATTGATAATGCACGAGATAATTTTATGACAATCGAAAGCGGAGGGCTGTTACCAAAAAAAAGTGCTTGACAAAATTGACATTAAATTATGAGGCATTTGTCAATGTTAGAGGGATAAACGGTCAGACATTTTTTTATAAAAAAATCAAATAACTTATCTATTAAAAGTTTGCTTAAAACTTTCCACATAGTCTTTACCGTTGCTTCTTTAAATTCTATCCCATCTTCCTTCCTCATTTTTAGCGCTCAATCTTTTAGTATCAATGCCAGTTGTTCTACGCTTCTATGCTTATTTTACTCATATTTTTGGTCACAAAAATCTCCATAAATATTTCCCACAAGTATGTATGACTGTTTGTGGTAGTTAAAATTTTTGCTTTGATTAGGGCATTATTATATTAAAAATTCGCATTGCCAAAACGTGACATTTAAAAATTTATTTGACATATAGAGTTGACAGTATTGGTGTCATAGGAATTGAAAACAGACCTAAATGCTGTTATCAGTTAAATGTTGAAATTATTGGGTGATTTGTGTAACATGACAAAAAATAACAACATTTAAATGGCTGTAGGAACTGTCAAAAAATTTTTGTAATAAATAAAACGAGAAGAAAAAAATATTTATAAATTAGCGACAGTAATTTGCTTGCTTATTTTTTAGTCCCCAGAAAAGATTTTTCTTTGTTTATTGTCATGTTAAACTAATAAGCACTAATAAGCCGACGCACAGTGGTCCAAAAGCCCAAAAACCTGGGCAAAATATGAAGGTTTAGTTATATGTTTACCAAAACAGGTACTTAAACATTTTTGGGGTCACTGATTACGAATTTGATATCCTTTTTTTCAAAAACAAAATGGCGGATCCAATATGGAGGACATTTTTTTAACAAATATTCTAATATCGCTTAAATTTGACAACTTGTGGTTTTTGAGGTCGCTAATTGCGAATTTTATATTTATTTTTGAAAAACAAAATGGCGGACCATTATGGAGGACATTTTTTTCAAAAAAATGTTCTGATATCGCTCAAATTTAGCAACCTGTGTTTTATGAGGTTTATGAGGTAGCTGATAACAAATTTGATATCCATTATTCCAAAAACAAAATGGCTTATCCAATATGGCCGACATTTTTCAAATAAATTTAGACTTTTTTTTTGGTTTATGAAAGGATTAAGGATTAGAAAACACATAGAATTTAAGATGGATAAACAAAATAACGATGCAAAATAAACATTTATTCAACGCAATAAAAAACTATATGTGTACAAAATTTCCACACAAGTGCAAACTATTAAAAATCGTAATCGGACAAGCATTCGTCGTTATCAGTAGGTCCGCTATCGCTTTCTTCAACATTAATGAATTTGGCAGATGTGTTAACTAAAAGATCAGAAACTTCGGGCTTGAAAGGTTTGCCGGGTTTGAATTCATAATTTTGTAAATTCGAGATGAGGGGATCCGAAGATGCAAGAAGTCGGTGAAAGACATCTTCCATTGTCTTTTCACGAGAGTACTTTCGAGAAAAGTTTTCGCGATAACGTCTGATGTCTTTGTTACGTGCTTCCTGTGCATCTTCGGATAACCGTCCAATTGGTAATGGAGATACTTCAATTATAGCGTAACCATGGATAAGAATAACATGTACTGAGGTTGGCATTGGGTACCAAGGGTACAATTCAACATACCGTTTTGCAAGATTTAAGCAGTATACTTTGAATTTCTCTGTATCTATTCCAAACCCACTTGAAATTGCCTGCAACAGTACCTTGCTTTTTGCTATTAATTCCTCGTCCACCCCCAAAATTCTTGCAGTTGACGAAACATCTTCAAAAAATCGCCTAGCTGTGTTCCCGTCATTAGTTGTACCGGACCCAGCTTTCGGGATATCGATTCGCAAACCGTACAATTGCTTGAAATCGTTTTGAATTTTTTGCTTACGAGCAGCTACCTTTTGTTTCTGTTCTGCAGTACGAGCCTGCCACTTTTTTTCGGTTTCATCACCGCATTTGTATGCTAAGTGAAGAAACCACTCCATACACCGAATCCATGCATGCAACGATGATATACCAAAACATAGATTCTCAGTAACGACTTTTTGTTTTAAAACTAGGTTTATATCATTAAATTGCTTTGATGTCGCTTTGCAAATGTAACATCGCATTGAAGAGTCTGTTTCTGTGATTGCATTTTTAATTTTTCCATCAATCATTGTGAAAACCAGTTTATATTCTATTTTAATTTTTTTTCCATGAACATTATAGAATGGCAAAAGAGAACGAATTTGCTGTTCAATGTATTTTTGCTCTTCGCGAGTACTTTTAACACTTTCTTTAAGAAATTGTAACCTAATCGGTCTACAAAATCGCGATGAGGAAGGCCTTGGATTTTGCCAAACAACAATGTTTTCATGATTTTCATTGACAACAGAGAGCTGCAATGGAACAGTTGAAGTAAAAAAGATATTGGCGTCACTGCTGTCTTTATCACTAAACTTTTGTTTGTATTCTTGACCCGTGGAACCATCACACCCCCACTTTAAAATTAACTGCATTTTTTCAGAATATGTCGGATGTAATTTGTTTATATCTTCAAATGTCACTTGCAAAAGCCTTTCGGAAATGTGATCTAGCAGAGCTTGCAACTTTACTTCAGCGCTTGTTTCTGTTACAGTCATAGCAGATCGGTCAGGGTAACAGCGACGTTTAGCAGCTAAGATTTTATTGTACGATGGATAAACTAACGTACCGCAGTTCGTGTTTGTCAAATTTCTCATTAATTTGTAGGTTTCTTTCGTCATTTTACCTGAGATGATCAAATTTAAAGCAAGATCGGCGGGTATCTCGCACGTGGGTGGTTTTTGAGACGCTTTGAGAGCCGCTTGATACCTAGAAGCTCGCATAGGAGATTTAGTAGTTATATCTTTCAGAACACTTGAAGCCTGAGGGGCGCCGGATGCACGAAGACTCATTTGTGTTGCGTATGCCAACTCCGATGTACTGTGTGATGCACGCAGATTCTCTGTTTTTCGACGTTTGCTTCGCTCACTCGAAGCGTCGAATTCTGTAGAACCTCGACCCAACTTCTTTAATCCTGTTGAGGATCGGCCCGGTTGGTACGTTTTATCCAGCTGCTGTTCCGCTTCATAAGAAATCTACAACACAAATGCGATTTTTTTACACTGTTTCAACTTTTCGGTATAACTCACAAATTAAGAGTTATTTTGAGGGTTTCACTTTCAACTACTTGAGATTTGGTTAATATAAAAAATAGGAAATTTGTAAATATATAATTCCAATATTCGCTTTAAGAAAATTGAAATCACAATCTTCCTCAAATAAAATCTTTAACGCCTTGAAATTTAAAAAAGATGATCCCTGAATCTTGCATTTACATTTGAAAATTTAAAAAATTTAAATTTATACATTTATATATTTTGATTTTGTGTAATAAATACATAATATGAATATTATTTGAATGTTATAATAGTTATTGACAATTTATAATTATTGACAATTTTGTATACTTTAATATATAAATATTTAATTAAAATTGTCTCTATTTTTTAATGTAAAACATTTAATTTGTAAAATTTCCAACAACTGATTTTCGAATTTTTTGATAAAACACAAAATCTGATATGGAGTTTATCTAGAGTATAAATCTAAAATAAAAAAACATTATACAATACTCACTGAAATAGTTGTGGACATATTTAACCATACTTTATTTTTACTGAGAAATATATCTTTTTTTCTGCGTGACTCCTTCCATTTTCTTTTGAAATTGCACAGCAACTTCTTCAAATTGATTACAGAATCTGGGTTTATCTTAAAAGGTACGCGTGACTTTTGATTAAAATATTTTTCCAAAAGCAGAATCTGCGCGTCTAGCTCCGTTTGAAAATTTTTTTTTACCACTTCATAAATTTCCTTGCGATTGTACGTCACAGTACAGGGTACTGCAAAGTAATACAAACATATTTAATACATAGTAACTAGCTTCGTTTAAGATACATTCTTGAATTTAAAAATATAAACACTTAATGCCTTAGAAACAAACACCCTGTACATAGATTTATAACTTTTTTAAGAGAACGTTAGGTATAAAGGGGACAAGCGCCTAACCATTGTAGGCTAATCTGTTATAATGATAAGGATTAAACCAAATTTCCCTGACATTTCTCGGTTTTCCAGCGATTTTTTATATATTTTTTAGTATATTGTTTTTTGCATTAAATATAGTAATTTGATTAAAAAACATTAATTAATCAAACAGTTTTTAAAAGTTTAGAAAGATTAAAAGAAAAAATTCTAAATATTTTTTATTTATAACTATCATACATACAAATTATCAATACGGTTTTATAACATTTTATATAGATATTAAACCTGAGATATAAATATTAAACCTGAGACACCCTGTATATTTTAATATAATTTAATATAATTTTTATCAAAATATTCATTGTAAAATAAATAATACTAAGAAGAAATAAGACCAGCACTTCTCAAAAAAAACTTGTTTAATATTTCCAAGAACCACTAATAATTCTCAGAAGTATTTTGAAAAATAAATATGTTTTTATTTTGCTATAGGCTGTAACTTATTTAAATCGTTTGGCAAAACATTTCTTTTAATACATTAAATTTTATAACAATTTCATTAATTATTTCCTGATAAAATAAATTCCCTGATATTTCTCTGTTTTCCAGAAAGTAGCCACCCTATGTTATGCACTAAAAGAAAAACGCGCGGCTCTACAAAATGTAATGCTACAGCCAAAACGCAAGAAATTCGCAAGAAATTTTTGTCGATTTATATTTGTTATATCAATATTTCAACTTGAAATTTTACAAAAGCATAAGATCTCGGTTGTTGATAACTATTTCAATGCTTTTTATAGGACGAATCGATAAATGTTCATATTATACAGTTGCTTATTCAATGTCATTTTTATATCTTATAAAATATCTTAATTTAGGATTTACAAGTGTGAGATTATTTTACATACCTTTAGGACCACCCTCCATCACACCGATTTGGAAACTGACACCGCGATAATTTGTTTGCAGTGAATTACTCTTGTAGTTATTTTAACGCATAAGGCGCATCGAAATACTTACTCTGGCGGAGCTTAATTGTAACTGACCTACAGATGCGAGTACCGAAGCCAACTAATTTTCCCTGTAGTTTAATACGTAGAATAGGTCCATTTACCATTTTACATACACAAACATCACAATTTTTCATTAAATTTTTCGGCTTTTGGCCAGCTTTTTTTGATTTTGGACCACTGTGCGACGGTGGACTAGTGGTTAGTGCTACTGACTACAAGCCGGAGGTCGTGGGTTCGAATCCCACCAGGGGTATGGCTGTTTATTTGTGTTTGTCCTATTGTGTAATAGTCCTTCGGAGGGGACTTTAAGCCCGCGGTCCGTTCCTACACCTAACCCGCACAAGCCATTCAGTTGGCTTCTGGGACTTCTTAGGAAGTAAGGGTGAAACTAAAAGAGCACTTAAAAAAAGCTCATATTAGTATAGACTAAACGTAAAGAAAGAATGAGTTAAGCCTGAATTATAGATTGCCTTCCTTCCTTCCTTCCTTTCTCACGGAAATCTATAAATTGACTTTTTACAAGACGCACAAATCGTACGGGCACGACTACGGGAGGAAGGAAGGAAGGCAATCTATAATTCAGGCTTTACGCACATAACTAAGACAGACAAGGATCCCACGTGAAGTCTCGTTTACCAGACTATACCGCTTAAACTAGTAAACAATATTAAAGTTGGTGTTTTTGCGTACCAGTACAATTTTTCCAGGTACAATGTACAATGTATAACTTTTAATAGTTTATAAAAAGTTGTATGATTAGGTCACCCAAAACTTAAAAAGAGCTTTTAAAACAACGCGCAAACTGGACGAAGGGCATAATATGACCTTTGTCCACTTTTATAAAGGTTTTGTAAAAATGGCGAATGCACCGGGATAGTAATGAAATAATATTTAGTTTATTAGTTCTGAATACCTACCTATTATTTAGCACTAGTAAACTTTTTCAATAAAAATATCATCTAAAAATATAGCTTATTTTGTTTTATATTTATATGAATGTTATATTATAAAAATATTAAAGCATTCAGTATATATTAATATCTATGAATTTTTATCTTACATGGTATTATTAAATATTAAATAATCGACTTTTATTAATATTTTTTTTGCCTCCCAATCTCATAAAATTCATGTAAAATATTTTCCTTTTTGGAAAACACAATTTATAAAAGATATATACAAGGAGTTTTTAGGGATTTAAAAGATTTATTCTTAAAATCCTTAAAAACTGCTTTGTAAAAATAAATTATACATGTACAGCAATTAAACCGCAAAAAAGTTATCTCTTCTTTTTGTGCTCGTTCAATCTTTAATTTCCCGAAAATTGCTGGGGGAAAAACACTGTATGTCGACATTTTTATCTTCCCGGTTATTGTGCCGCACCACCTTTTTCCTACTTTCACCTGACTGGCGCCTTTTTTCCAGATAACGATTAAATCGGGATTTTTATCGGAACTGTGGCAAATTTTGTGATTTATGATGACTTTGCATCGGCGGTAAAATGAATGGGAAATTATGAAGAAGTATTAACTTCGGATTGAAAAAGGCTCTTTTAACTTAATAATAATTAATATTTTGAAAAATAATTATTTATTATTATTTTTAAAAACCATGCAAAGCAATGATGTAAATATAAATTATAAATGTAACCATTTTTTAAATGGTTATAAAAGACTTATTTTTAAGGGATTTAATTAAGTCTTGTGTGGTTTAATATTAAATATTATTAAAAACTTTACAGTATAAAAAATAATTATTTGTTTACTAAAAACAAGTAAATATCGTTTATAAAATTTACAAAATAAACCATTTAAAAAATTCTTTATACATTAAAAAAAAACTATAAGTATACTTAGGATAGGGATAGTTTAATTTCTTCAACAATGTAATGTTGGGATTAATGTGAAACTCTAGACAAATAGATTAGCAAAATTTTCGAAACAATGGTAGTATTAACTTTTTTAGTTCTGCCATTCTGCCATTTATTGTTATACTAATTAAAACGGTCTAGCAAAATATTTTAGGTGCTTTCTTTGTTTTGTTCAAAGCTTATGGTATATTAAGGGATAATGGAGATCATTGCCTAGCAGCTCATTGCCAACTGAACCTAATTTTAACTTTTATTTTAACCCTGCGATTTTGTCTAGACTGTTTAATTAACAGGTTTTGCGTAATTGCGAACAATTACTAACCCGAGTTTATATCAATTTAAAATTTTTATTTCAAAGTGTGAAAATATTATTTTAATATATTAGCGTTTAAAGCTTGCTACCATTTAATTAACTGACAAAACAATGAATTGGTTTAATTATTTTATTAAGAGAATCAACACTAAAAACTATTTCATTACAAACAATCATTTTAAAGTTGGTATTTTTTTGAACTAAATTAAAATCAACATTTAGATATACAAATTTTAAATCCACCGCAACAAAATTGAATAAACAAATATGCATAAGCCTGATTGAACCACAAAACCTACTGGATAATTAATTTTCCCATAGGCAATATTTGTATTTTGTTAAAAAATATTATTTTTTCCTATACAAGAAATGTAAGCAAACAAATCAAATTTGGTATATTTAAAAGAAGATGCGTAATAACAGAAAAAAAAATATAAGAATATAAAAGTTTAAAAATGAAGTTTTTGATAAAAATTCTTTTTAAAAATATTTACTATTTTTAAAACAATATTTTAAAATGCATTAAGGGGTATTTCACATCATGCAGGAAAAAATAAATAAATGTTGCTCGATTTTGTTTTAATTTGATTTATTATACCTCTACGACACGGTTTTTTCTGAGTGTCAGTTCTTAAATTAACAGTATTATTTAGCTTCAGAATTTAAGTGGAAGCTATAGTGCTTTGATAGAAAAGTATAAAAATAGGGTTTAAGTTGGATTTGTACTTTATTCGTGTTTATTTGTTAGTTTTAATGTTTGTAGGTAGATTTTATTTATAATTTGTTGTGTATTGGCCATTGTTTGAATGCCGCAAAACACTACTACTTATATTATACAGGGTCCGGCATCAGAATTGAACGGTTTTGAAAAGGCTGCTATGGAAATACTATTGATTTGGTATATGTCAAATAGTGACAGACTTATACCTTATTTTCAAAGGTTTCGTGTGCAATGGCAAACTGGCCGATTAATCAAGGGATCTGCAGTAAATTCTTGTATCCTGACCCAGTCCTTCGTACAAACGCAGAGATGCTTTTGTCGTAAATATAATTTGCCAGTGCGCTCGGAAGTCCCATCAAGAAATGCCATTTTGAGATGGGTAAGAGATTTTAACGAAAAAAGTAGTGTAAAATTTAAATTCGACGGTGGAACTCGTACACAAGAAAATATTGGGAGAGTCAGAGAAGCGTTTGAGCGCAGTCCACGACGTTCTGTAGTTCGGTACTCGATTGCTCTACACATTTCAGACCGAAGTTTGCAAACAATTTTACATCTGGATTTAAAACTCCATCTGTACAAGATACAGACAGTCCAGAGGCTAAATCCCATTGATAAAGTCAATCCACTCGATTTCTGCACACAATTTTTAGAGACAATGAACAACAATGCAGAAATCCTTAACTATTTGACATATCAAATCAACATGTAGTATTTCCATAGCAGCCACTAAACTTTCGGCATTAAGGTACAAGTCTGTCACTATTTGACATATATCAAATCAATAGTATTTCCATAGCAGCATTTTTAAAACCGTTCAATTCTGTTGCCGGACCCTGTATAATATAAGTAGTAGTGTTTTGCGGCGTAGGCATATCGCCATAAAATTTCCAATTAAATAGTTCAAATATACCATTATCATTTGTTATTGTAATGATTTTAATGAATTTTAATGAATTAGGTGAGTTCGGTGTTCTTCAAAGTTTTTACAAAAATTGTTTTTAGGGGTATTTATTTATAAAAGATTGGATGGCCCAGGCATTTATCACATTCCATGTTCCTGCGGAGAAGCATACGTTGGCCAGACAGGACGAAACATCAGCACCAGGGTAGGGGAACATAAAGCAGATATAAGAAGAAAGAACACAAGATCAGCGGTTGCAGAACACTTCCTGGGCACTGGACAAATTTCTAGGTGTAGTAATTTTTGGCAGAGAATATATAGAGAATCTATAGAGATTCAAAAATTCTCGAACTTCAACAGAGACCAAGGGATCGAATTGGCCCCCATTTGGAAGAACATGTTTCGCAACACCGGTACGTCACGGACTAGTAACCGGGAACCACAGGTGAGCACACAACAACTGGTGCATGAAATCACTCACCGGAACACCAACCAGCGTGAACCAATCCAATCTCTTTAGTTTCAGTTTTCTGAAGAAGACAGCAACATGGCTGTCGAAACGTCAAACCGAATTACAATGATACGCGGCTTAAAACATGGAAACCTTTTTACTTCTAAAGAAAATAACCGCGAAAGCCTTAGAGATAAAATTCTTTATTTTATTTATATCTTTTTTGGCTCTAACTTGTGAATTAGTGGATTTTAATTTTTTTAACTTCAATGAATCAGAAATTGCATTTCCTTAAAAATAATGTATAGGATGTCATTTTTAATATTTTAGTAAAGGTAGCTGGAGGTAATAGGGTGCAACATAAAATTTGTTTAACACTGGATTTATACTTCCCCCTTTAAATCGACCTGTTTTTACTCAAGATCATATTTACTATAACTCAAAAGTTATTAAGGTTGGCTAGTGCATTAAATGGAAATAAATTAATCACCAAATTAAGTTTTAAAAACATATAACAAATAAAAGTAGTTTTTGAGTTTAAATACTAAGAAACATAAAAAACTAATTAAAAAAATTGGCGCCGGGTAAGATATTTTTCATAAATATTTGAGATAACATTAAAACAATCTAATGGTCAAAAACCTAAAAAACAGTAATTTTTTATGAATAAAAATTAAGATATATATTAACTACCTACGTTATATGGATTTAATCGAAGAACTCGTCTAGTTTCGTATTTTCTTTCCAAACTAAGACGTATATTTAAAAATAAAATAAATAGAACATTTAATCAATTAGATATAAATTAATCTTTTAAAGTGGTACAAAAAGGCAATTTAAAAACCTTATCTTGACGACGCGTCGCGACGAGTGGTTTGGGTCCGGAGACACCGGAATAATTCCTCGGCCTGATCTCGATATGCCATTGATCTTCTGTCACAGTGTTGGTCGGATTTCAGCGTATAAAGCTCTATTTTAAAGTGGCGGATCAAGTACATTTTAAAAATATCGCCTCTTTAAGGTTGCGCAAGGATCAACATACTGTAATGCCGTCGAGACCCCGCGCGTCCTCGTCGTCTAAAAGTTTAGCTTCGCTCAGCAATGGTTTCAAGATGTACAAATAATGTTTTTACTTTGTGTCAGAGGACTTTTTATTTTTTAATGTATAAATTAAAAAAGCATAAGCCAAATCCATTTTATCAAGATTTATTATGTTTAAAAAATTTTTATTTTAATTAAATATAATTTAATATTTGTGAACGTTGAAAGTTAAACAAGCAAAATTAAAATAATATATCTTGTTCTAGGTGATTACCGTTTGTATAAATCGTTTATTTAATATTTGGTTGTTTTTAACACAAAAATAAAAAATTCAACTATATGAAATCTTAAATGAATTTATAAAGAAGGTCCTAAGAGCTAATTAGTTATAAGTTAAATGTAAAATTGGTTGTGTCCCTTTAATCTCAACAGGCTTATGTTATTAAGGAAATGTTAATATTTACACAAGAAATTGCCGCTTGAAACAAGACATAATGGCATCCTAGAGTGCTATGATGACTACTAGACTTGAGCATTAACATAATGGATTTATTAAATTTTCAATGCAAGCATGTCTTGGCTGAGTAAAAATTGTCATTTAAAATGTATAGTTTTTAATATATTTTTATTATTTTTAGAATATAAAATGTCAATATTTTTATTAAAGTAGCATAAACAAGAATCATAAAAATTTTATATCTTATTTTGTCACCGATGGCTTATTTAGGATTGTTTGAACGGATTCATATTTATTGGTTTTATATCACTTTTATTACCCTTTTATATCCGATCCAAAATTTGTAATATTTATTTTCAAGTATGAAATGAAACATTTATTTTGTTTTATTACTTTATTACGTTTCCAAATTTAAAATAAGGTGTTTAAATTTTGTAAACTTAAATTAAATTGTTATTTATTTTTAAGCGTCCTCTAATTTAAACTTTTTTATTGTCAACACTACTAAAGTGATTGATTATTGCTGTAAAAATAATTTAGAATAATCAAATAAAGTTTTTTACCTCTTAATCTGTAAAAAAAACCATCTGGGCCAATTAAATAATAGATCTACCTAACCTAATGTTCTATGCGTGGTTTAACAACATTATGCTAGTATGTCCCATAAATTATTTTATGGTCGAGTATTGATGACAATAAAAGTTTAATTTAATTTATTATTAAATATAATAAATCATGCTAATAGTTAAGCATATGCTAACTATTAATATTATTTTATTTATTAGCATGGCCGTTTTTACTTAAAAAATATTAAAATGAAACTTATAACAAAAATAAAAACAAACATTAGAAAGATAAGTTAAGGTTTTTGCTAAAATCATAAAAAATATATTCTAATATAGGGTCACGGATAGCGCAGTGGGTTAGGCGACTAAGCCGAGACACACTGCGTCCGAAGGTACCGGGTTCGATCCCCGGTCACAGCCTTAGGTGTTGTGCGCGTTTAAAGTCGGTAGATGAGTCTAACTCATCGAGGTCCCGCTAAAAAATCGAACCTTATACTTTCTAAAAATGAATTAGTTAAAAATGACTAATTGTCATAGCGAAAAAGCAGCCACCAATAATACTCGTCAATAGAAATTTGTATCCCGAACAGTTAGCACTCAATTTCTAAGTAAAGTTGTCCCCTGAATCCCTGAAATGTAGTCAAAAGTTATAAAAGTAGAACAGTTTTTGAGATATAGTCAATTTTCCAAAAAATATGGAATTGACTATATCCTAAAAACTGCTTTACTTTCATAATTTTTTATGGTTTTTTCGGATTCAGGGGACAATTTTACATAAGAATTGGGTTAAATGTTGAAGATATCATGGTATCTCATGGTTTTTTTGACTAATTAATTTTAAGATGCGTGTAAGTTGGATAGGTTGATGATGTTACTACTCTACTTTATTTTCTAATAAAAACATTTTTACGAAATTTTTTAAATTAACTGTACTTTTTAGTCTTATCCCCATAGTTGAGTTTTGAAAATCCTATTTTGGGGCGTAATCAAACTTCGGGTTTTAGCTTTAAGTGAACATATATTACGCATGTAAGTATGTAACTAGCTGTTAAGGTAAGTATCTTAAAGTTTTTGAAAAGAAGTCTGCAACTTTTTGTTTGGCCCAATCCTTCAATGGATTATTATAATACATGGATTAAATAAACAGAATTATAACCATTTTTTAGAATATACCTTACTAATTTGAAAACGTTTCATTGGAAACACTTTATATTCATGTTCCTGCTTTTTTCATTAATTCATCATTATTATTTGCACGCCTCTTTTAAACTATATCCAGTTCTTGAGTTTTAGGTAATTATTTTTATATTTAATTGGTCTATGCACGGCGTTCTGTATAGAGAACGCCGTGGTCTATGGCCTTGGCACTTTGATGATTTTAATCATTTGGATTAGGTCCTTATATAATATACATTAGATGCAAAACTCGGTTTTTGCAAATTTTTTAAAAAATATATATTTTATCATATTTATGTACATAACTGCACTGCCCACAGAATACCTAAGTAAACCAGATGCATAAGTTAATATTTGTAGAATAAAATACATTTATAAACTTAACGCAGATGCAAAACTGGGTATTTGCTGTATACAGTCTATAGACCAATCACGTCGTTAGTATACGCATTACGTGACAACATAACAATCGCCGGATTAATTGTTATTTTTTTGGTATTTGCACTTTTCACTTGCAAAACTTGGTCTTTGAACGAGTAAGATGCAAAACTATGTTTTTAAATCTTTTGATTTCAATTATTTACTAAACTAATTAATTTTAAAGGATTTGTAGCGGCATTACCTCCCCTACTCAGGCAAACAAACACTGTAAAAACAGGCAAAAGTATAAAATATTTTAATTACAATTACGTGACAAAATGTACGGATTGTCGAGGCTTACATTTAATCTTACCGACAATAAAATAATCCCACAACCAAACTTCACAATACCATAAATATTTCCTTATCCTTCGAAGAATTTCTAGCCTAATTAATATCCAAAATCCCAGCAATTTGGAAAGCCCTTGCATTAGCTCCAAATTTCAGGTCGACGTACAAGAGCACGTAACGGCCGAACTACCTGTATCTAAAATATAAAACCTAGTCCTATCCTAAGCTAATCACTCAGTAACTCAGAACTCAGAACTCAGTCATTTCAATTCAGTGAACCCAGTTCCACCATCCGGTCGACATCATTCAGTTAAGTTCCAAACTATCGGGCCTCGACATCCAACTTAAACGCTGTTGTAAGTTACACCACTATTTTCATTTTAAATAAATAACGTACTACGAACAA